AACTATTGGCCCGGCGCAGTATGGCCAAGTTGCAAGGACAAGTGCAAGGCGGCAGCGACCCAAAATGGCACAACAAGTCGAACCCTCGGCCCAAAAACCTGGGAGGTGGCTGACGACGCCGCATCGAAAATCCGCGGCGCTGCCTGCAGACACGGCAGTCGACATTCAGGTTCATCTTCCGTTTTATCTTCTTGTGGGGAGGCCTGCGCAATTTAGGGTCCGGGGTTTGAGGTGCCAAGCAAGATCTTCAATGTCCGTGTGTGAAGGTGGTGCCGCTTACCAGCAGACAGGGTGCGGAGGAGCTAAAGATCTCTGCCGTATCTGGATTGCAGAAAGACTGCTGGCAAGGCCGATGTGAGAGTGAGATATGCAGACTTCCGCAACATCGCATGCTTCCTCGTCTCGATATCCCTGCATACCTCTGTGTGCAGTTGCGTGCAAAGGTTCTCAGCAGCGCACGGCCGTGGCGAAGGGCAGAAGCAGGTCGCGCCGTCCTGAGGCCAGGCTGTGAGACTGTGACAGGCTTTCTTGCAAAGAAGTCGTGCTTCGAGTTCCGTCTGCTTGGCAGGCTTCCACCCCGAAGAATGCAGCAGTGTCCCGGCATTTCCACAGCTTGCTCCTCTCGCACACGAGAGGAATTTCCCCGTTGCAAGGCCGCAGATGGGTGCTCTCGTTAGAGAGACCTTCGGGAGGCCGGATCTGAAAGAGAGCGAGGCCAGCACCGGATAGTTTTTGCCTCTTACGGACAGTGAGTCCGAGTTCTTCCGTTCCACCTGACGCAGATCTTCGTGGCGGTGTGGGTGGCACAGTTTGTGGCCCCGATGGCGCGCGGCCTGGGCCTTGACCAACGCATGTGGCTTGGCTGAACCGCCTGCAAATGCCCCTGCCCTTCCGGCGTTTATATACATGCCAAGCGTATGACAGCAGAGAAAGGTGTTCGATTTTACAAGCCATGGGCAGGTTCAACAAAATGCTCGATGTGTTGCACACTCGAGGCTGCTTGGTTGAGTTATTTGTGTCTTGAACTTCAACGAGACTTCCTGACTCGCCACAGTCGAGCTTATGGGCTTAGAGGGAGCTCTTAGCTGCTGCATCAGTCTTGAAAGCTGATGGGGCCAAGGTTACAACTTCATTCTGCTTCTGGTTGACAGTCGCTCTGCGCGTTTGGCCGAGCGGCTCCGCGACCACTACGAGGCAAATGCAGCCTATGGACTGTGTTGCCCCCCCTAAACCCTAAACCCTAAACCCCAAAACCCCTAAACTTCCGACTGTGCTTTTCGATGGCATGTTGTCTGGGACCAGGCGCAGGGGTGCGTGGCCGTTCCCGAACCCAATGCAATGGGCGGCTTGGCATGCCACAATTGTCCAGAGGGGTGGCCGGATTTTCCTTGCGGTGCTGACATATATATATATATATACAAATAACTAATGAGGATCCTTCCATTTAGCATCTAGGTCAGGGGTTCGTGTCCCTCTTCCTGGCATCTTCTGTCGTGTCTAAGCTTGAGCTGCAAAGCCATGCTCTGAGGACTTGCAAACGCGATGCTTCTCAGCGTCAGCGGCAACGTCGCAGGGGCCCTGTACCTTTGCAGGAATCTGCTCGAGGACTTTGTGCGAGCAGACAGCGCCAGGTGCCAAAGCAGCCGACGAAAGTCGCAAGGAGTCTTCTGGCGACGAGCGCTCTGCGCCTGGCGCACGGCTATGCAACTCGACAGGACTCGAAACGAAGAAGATCTTCCAAGCATGTTGTGACAGTCACTTCTCTGCTCTCGTGTGAGGTTTCAGCGCCGCTTCTCCTCGAATTCGTGCAGGTTCCACCCGCGCGCTTCGAATTTCGGATTCCCACCAGAGGGATGGATCGATTGCCGTGGTGCCTGCTGCTTGCTGCCTTGAAATTGCACCCTCTCGTGCAGTCCATCCTAACGTGTTCGGCGAGCACTCCGTTCTGAGTTTCCATGCTCTCTGCGGACCCAGAACAACCGACAGACCTGCCAGTTCTGTCAATCCAAACTTGCCATTTTGGATCAGCGCCTGACAGGTGGTTTTGCCGGCGCTGCGCAGCGGCACCTGGCAGTGTGGAAATGAAGGGCCGCTGAGGGCGGGGGGCCCATTGAGAATGTAGCCACCTGGTGTCTACGAAGCCCGAGTGCCTTGGAAGGTACTCCTGCGGGCCATGCAGGTGCTAGGCTATGCCGCCAGTTCGCAAGCAGGAGTAGGAGTGGCTTCTTCAGTCGAGCTCCATGCCGAATATTGCTGGATTCCTGGGTTGGCAGCTCGTGTTTTTGACAAGCTTTGAAGCTCCTGGAGATGAAAAAACCTCTCAGACGATTTACCGAAGGTCTCCGTGGATGCGGATGGCAAGGTGTCAGCTGTGGAGTCGCAAGAGCTACAGGCGCCCGGGTTTACTGAGGGCTGGGCCAATGTCTCTCTCTCACCCTTTCAAGCGGTTTAGGGTTTAGGGTGTAGGGTGTTTAGAGTTTAGGGTTTAGGCTTTGTTGCATCTGCAGGCGCTGGTCACACTACTGGCCTCTGGTGGCTCCTGCGACACCCTGCTGCGCAACATCTATCAGCAGGATGGAGTGAGCAAAATGTTGTCAACGGCCATTCGTGGCGACTGCATTGATTATATGTCAAGCCACCTTAAACGGCCCCAATACTCGTTAGCAGTAGCAACAGTCGTAACTACAGAAACAGCTGTTGTGAGACTCAGGTAAGTACTGGCAGCTCACCCTAAACCCTAAACCCAAAGC